CAGTGTCCAGCCGAGCACATGTTAAAACTTGTAGGAGGAGTTTTAATTGTGGATGCAGAACCCTGTCTGGACAGTGCTGATTGGCCCTGTGCTGATCACATGCACTCTCCCAAGAAAATAAAAAAATCTCTTTAGCAATACACACCAAACTGAGCATGTGCAGAGTGTCTCCACACAATATGTCTTGTCTTAGGAGATAAGAGGGGGGCACTGGAAGAAGGGGAGGATTAGAGAAGTCAGGATCAAACATTGCAGAGGATTAACCCCTTAGGTTCCACAGTAAGTATAGCAAGCATGCTTTAATGCATATACAGACTTGTTTTACTGTTGTGGGTTTAGAAACACTTTAAGTATGGATTTATAGCTATCATTGCACAATTGAAACACAGAATTGTTTCCAGTGTGCTTTGAATGCCTATGATAAAATGCTGGATTCAGTTTAATTAACCTTTATGGTAAGAACTCTTGCTAATTTATGTTCTAGTTAATTACTTTAGGGGGTTTGTAAGGATTATAGACCCTTCACCAGCAAAGAACCCCATTTATTGTTTCATTAAGTTTAATGTCTATGATATTGCTGTAGTTCTGATTAGTTTCAACTAGGCGTTCCATAATTAATGATTATATTACCATTAACAATGGGTAATCTTTTTTTTTTTTTTTTGTGACATTCTTGTGCCAGTGGACTCCTGTTAAATGCCTTCTCTACATCCAATGTTCTGAAGTAGAGGAGGCACTCAGCGAAGCTTTGCATGTTGGCTTGGATTGATTATTCATTTGCTCTCCCCTTTATGCTTGTCTGTTGGTCACCTGATTAAGATTAATTAGTTGGGTAGGTCCATATATATTTGGACACAGGCACAATTTTAGTTTTTTCAGGTATTCACCAAAACATATTCAAGCTATAGTTATATAATGGATATGGACTGAAAGTGCACACTCTCAGGTTTAATTTAAGGGTATGTACATCCAAATTGGAGAAAAGGTTTAGGAATTAAAGCTCTTAAGAGTAGCCACCCCCCCTTTTTCAAGGGCCCCAAAGTAATTGGACAAATTAATATAATCATAAATAAAATGTTCATTTTTAATATTTTGTTGAGAATCCTTTACTGGCAATGACCCAGTGCCACTGGAAGCCATGCATGCCATCACATGTTTTACAGATGACGTTGTGTACTTTGATCATGAGCTGTTCCAAGCCTTCTCCACACTTTTTTTTTCTTCGCGTTAATATGATACAGATTAATCTTAGTTTCATCCATCCAAAGAATGCTTTTCCAGAACTGGTCTGGCTTTTTTAGATGTTTTTTGGCAAACTCTGATCTGGCTTTTCTATTCTTCAATGGTTGGCACTTTGTGGTGAACCCTCTGTATTTGCTCTCATGAAGTCTTCTCTTGATTGTAGACTTTGACATCGATGCACACACACACACACAGAGTGTCCTTCACTTGTCTGGATGTTGTGAATGGTTTTTTTTTCTTTACCATAGAGAGGATCCTGCAATCATCCACCACTGTTGTCTTCCGTGGATGTCCATGCCTTTTTATGTTGCTGAGCTCACCAGTGCATTCTTCTTTCCTCAGAATGTACCAAACTGTTGCTTTGGCTACTCCTAATATTGATGCTATCTCTCTGATGGATTTGTTTCATTTTTGAAGCCTTACAATGGCCTGTTTCACTTGCATGGACAGCTCCTTTGAATGCATTAAGTAGGTTCACAGCAATAGATTCCAAATGCAAATACCACACTTAGAATCAACTCCAGACCTTTTACATGCTTAATTGATGAAGAAATAACGGAGTAGCCCACACCTGGCCATGAAACAGCTTTTTGATTCAATTGTCAAATTACTTTTGGTCCCTTGAAAAAGAGGGGATGGCTGTAATTCCTAAACCCTTCCTCCAATTTGGATGTACATACCCTCAAATTAAACCTAAGAGTGTGCACTTTCAACCCATATCCATTATATAATTATAGCTTGAATATGTTTTCATAAATACCTGAAAAAAAACTAAAATTGGGCCTGTGTCCAAATATATATGGACCTAACTGTATATAGGAGTCTATAAGTAACACTTTGAGGAAGTGTTTTATATCTGAATTGAAAGTTAAAATTACCTTGGGATATCGGTTTTCTTCCCTGGTTTTGGTTGTGTTGCAATAATAGTTTTAAGTATGTGTTTGGGGATGGTTTCCTGGGAAGCTAATTATGTCACTAAATGTTGAAAAAATGCATAAACACACCATTTCCAGGTGGAGACTTACCCTCAGGTAGAGAAGTTACTGCATTATGGATGTGCTGTTGGGAGAATAGAGAGTTTAATAGGTCTAACTATTAGGATGTCAGTGTAGGGAAATTTAAGGGCTCTTGCACGTGCGCACAAAATAAGCAGATTTGTAATGCATACCTTTTTTTTTTTTTTTTTTTACACAGGTCTGAACACTGCATGTTATGTTAACGGACCATGCACACAGCTCATGTTATGTTAACGGACCATAGCCACTCAGCTCATTCACAGGAGCTGTGTTCCTGGGGAAAAAAAAGAAATACAAATCCTGTGTATGGACCATATTTAATTCTGTGTGCATGTAAATGTTTGTGCTCATGTTTACAATGGTTAGCATAACCATATGACATATGACCTTGAATAGCAAAGTTGCTAGGCGGCTGCCTGTGTCTTAACAAACTAACAAATTAGGCGCCATGAGCCACCTGAGTCCTAGTAACCAAGAACACTAGGCTGCATGAGGCACCTGTGCTGTAGCAACCTAGGATGCTAGGCAGCAGGAGCTGCCTGCTTCTTAGCAACCAAGGACACTAGGCAGCAGGTGCCATCTATATCCGTATTTATGCTGTATGCATGTAAATATTACCACACACATTACATGCAAAGATGTTTTTACATAAGGTCTTGCTGCCAGCAAGGTCCTAGTTAAAATCATACAGCTGTGTGCATGAGCCCTACAGCAGAAGAAAAATCAATGCAACCACCAAACTTTTAAATGTTGCCACCTCACTGCTCTGCTCTTGTCTTTTGTGTATACAGTTTATAATCTCAGAGGACATTTTTTCTTTATTTTAATTTTTTTCCAAGTGGTCATGTGACCAAAAGATCCACTGAGTGTGCTCCTTTATGGAGGACCAATAATGTGGCTAACTCCTTAGACCTGAGTTCTCATTGCTTTGGCATCCATTGCTCCAAGGTATTGTCAGACCTTAAAGAAGTCATGCTTGCCAGCTGCACTTGCCAGAGCTTTGCGGTCACGTGATTGTTTTCAAAAAAATTAATAATCAGGGTATTTGCAGTTTTATTCTAAAGTGTATTTTGGGTAATTTTTATAAACTAAATTTTGGGATTGTAAAGGCAATGATAGTATTTGCTAAATATGTTTGTGATTGCTTGTGAGTTGATCATCTTCCACTTCTATACAGTGGGTATAGAAAAGAATCATCCCCCTTCACAGTTTGTTGCTTTGCTGCCTGAAATGAAGCCAGACACCGTTTTTGTTTTATCCAGCTGTATTTACTCAGTGCAACTTATAACATCTAAGTGAAAGAACACCAATGTGTCAGAAAAAATAAATAAATAAAAACAGAATCACTGAGTTGGAAAAAGGATCACCCTCTTGCGTCAGTATTTTGGTGAACCACCTTGTGCTTTAAATACAGCCTTTAGGGCCAGTTCACACTACTTGCATTTCCAAAACACACAGTCAAGGCAACAAAGGAGTGGCTCAAGAAGAAGCACATTAAGGTCCTGGAGTGGCCTAGCCAGTCTCCAGACCTTAATCCGATTGAAAATCTGTGGAGGAAGCTGAAAGTTCGAGTTTCCAAACGTAAGCCACCAAACCTTAATGACTTGGAGAGGATCTGCCAAGAGGAGTCGGCCAAAATCCCTTCTGAGATGTGTGCAAACCTGGTGGCCAACTACAGGAAATGTCTGACCTCTGTGATTGCCAACAAGGGATTTGCCACTAACTACTAAGCCATGTTTTGTGAAGGGGATCAAATACTTATTTACCTCATTAACACGTAAATCAGTGCATAATTTGTTACATGTATTTCTTTTGAATTTTTTGTTGCTATTCTGGCTCTTAGTGTTACAATACACCTACCATTCGATTTTTAGACAGATCATTTCTTTGTGAGTGGGCAAACATTCAAAATCAGCAGGGGTGAAATACTTATTTCCTTTACTGTGTGTAATATATATATATTACAATCATGTTATACTTACCTGCTCTGTGCAATATAATTTCTCAAAGCAGAACTTCGCTCTCAATCAACGTTGACTATTTTTAATCCTTATGCTGCTCGCACTAGTAAATAGAGAAGAAACTACATAATATTTACTTGTTTTACATTTTTTTTCTCTTACATTTCTTCAGTTACTTTCTGGTACCCCCACTTCTCAGAATAAAGGGTTGTCTGTTGGTTTTCTGGTCCCAGAAAATGTCAGATGCCTTTTGAGTGTCATTTCCAGGGACTACAAACTGGGATTTTGCACTTTTCCTCCTCCCCAATTCATGTTTTATGGATCTTCTGTCTGCTGTCCAGCGCCTTTTGTCTCCAGGACATGGTTGCGGGCTTTCTTATGCATTAACTTAAGAGGCTTCCTTCTAAGATGACAGACATGCAGACCAATTTGAGTGTGCAGTGTTTGGCCTGAGCACTGACAAGCTGACCCCCCACCCCTTCAACCTCTGCAGCAATGCTGGCAGCACTCATACGTCTATTTCCCAAAGACAACCTCTGGATCTGATGCTGAGCACATGCACTCATCTGCTTTGGTCAACCATGGCGAGGCCTGTTATTAGAGGAACCTGTCCTGTTAAACCACTGTATGGTCTTGGCCACCGTGCTGCAGCTCAGTTTCAGGGTCTTGGCAATCTTCTTATAGCCTAGGCCAGGGCTTAAAATTTCAAGTCCTGAGCTACTAGCCAGGCCTTAAGAGTTACTCGCCACCAACAAACACACACAAACAGACACCTGTACACACACACAGACATGTACATACACACACAGAAACATGTACACACACGCACAGAGACACATGTATACACACACAGGCACGTACAGACACGCATACACACAGATACATGTACATACACAGAAATACACACTCACAGACACATGTACATACATACACACGTGTACATGCACACACACAGACACATGTACACACACACACAGACACATGTACGATATACATATGTACATACACACAGGCACATGTACATGCATACACACACACAGGCACATGTACATGCATACACAGACACACACACCCTCCCCATAAAAAGTTGCAGTACTTCGTTGTTCACTCACAGAGCTGGGTACTGCACTCTAGGGGGAGGCAGAGAGCACAGCACACACTCCTTCCTTTGCTTTCACTGCGCTCAGCTGTTGAGCAGTCTGACAGCTCCCAGTGCCAATGACCAATCCGGCCTGAGCTCTGAGCCTGCTCAGCAAGATTGCCCTGGGGGACACACTTGCCCCCACCATAATTTTTCACTCGCTATTGGCGAGCAGGCGAGTGGAAATTTCAATGGCCTAGGCCATCTTTATGTAGAGCAACAATTCATTTTTTCAGATCCTCAGAGAGTTCTTTGCCATGAGGTGCCATGTTGAACATCCAGTGACCAGTATGAGAGAGTGATCACACCAAATTTAAGTCACATGACACCGGGGAGGGAAAATGGCTAATTGGGCCCAGTTTGGACATTTTCACTTAGGGGTCTACTCACTTTTGTTGGCAGTGGTTTAGACATTAAGTGTTGAGTTATTTTTTGAGGGGACAGCAAATTTACACTGTTATACAAACTGTACACTCACTACATTACATTGTAGCAAAGTGTAATTCCTGCAGTGTTGTCACATGAAAAGATATAGTAAAATATTTACAAAAATGTGAGGGGTGTTCTCATATATATATATATATATATATATATATATATATATATATATATATATATATATATATATATATATATATATATATATATATAATACACAGGTCCATAAATATTTGGACACAATTTTTAGTTTTTTTCAGGTATTTACCAAAGCATATTCAAGCTATAGTTATATAATGGATATGGGCTGAAAGTGCACACTCTCAGGTTTAATTTGCAGGTATGTACATCCAAATTGGAGAAAGGGTTTAGGAATTACAGCTCTTAAGAGTAGCCGTCCCCCCTTTTTCAAGGGATCAAAAGTAATTGGACAATTGAATCAAAAGCTGTTTCATGGCCAGGTGTGGGCTGGGCTACTCCTTCATTATTTCTTCATCAATTAAGCAGGTAAAAGGTCTGGAGTTGATTCTAAATGTGGTATTTGCATTTGGAATCTATTGCTGTGAACCTGTGTTCAAAGGAGTTGTCCATGCAAGTGAAACAGGCCATTGTAAGGCTTCAAAAACTAAATAAATCCATCAGAGAGATAGCAGTAACATTGGGAGTGGCCAAATCCACAGTTTGGTACAATCTGAGGAAAGAAGAACACATGGTGAGCTCAGCATAAAAAGGCATGGATGTACATGGAAGACAACGGGATCCTCTCTATGGTAAAGAAAAACCCATTCACAACATCCAAACAAGTGAAGGACACTCTCCAGAAAGTGGGCGTATCATTGTCAAAGTCTACAATCAAGAGAAGACTTAACGAGAGCAAATACAGAGGGTTCACACAAGGTGCACAAAAAAAAATCTAAAAAATCCAGACCAGTTCTGGAAAAGCATTCTTTGGATGGATGAAACTGAGATTAATCTGTACCAGAATGATGGGAAGAAAAAAGTGTGGAGAAGGCTTGGAACAGCTCATGATCCAAAGCACACAACGTCATCTGCAAAACATGGTGGAGGCAGTGTGATGGCATGGGCATGCATGGCTTCCAGTGGCACTGGGTCATTGGTGTTTATTGATGATGTGACAGAGACAAAAGCAGCCGGATGAATTCTGCAGTGTTTAGAGATATACTGTTCGCCCAGATTCAACCAAATGCAGCAAAGTTGATTGGACGGCGCTTAACAGTGCAGATAGACAATGATCCAAAACACACTGTAAAGCTACCCAGGACTTTCAGAAGGAAAAGAAGTGGAATATTCTGCAATGGCCGAGTCAGTCACCTGATCTCAACCCAATTGAGCATGCATTTCACTTGCTGAAGGCAAAACTAAAGGCAGAAAGACCCACAAACAACAACTGAAGACAGCTGCAAAGCATTAGAAAGCAGAAAACCTAGTCTTTGGTAATGTCCATGGGTTCCAGACTTCAGGCAGTCATTGCCAGTAAAGGATTCTCAACAAAATATTAAAATTTTATTTATGAATATATTAATTTGTCCAATTACATTTGAGCCCCTGAAAATGAAGGGACAGTGTATAAAAACAGTTGCAGTTCATAAAATTTGCACTTGATATTTATGTTCAACCCCTTGAATTAAAGCTGAAAGTCTGCACTTCAGATTCATTTGGATTGTTTCCTTTTAATTTATTCTGGTGGCATACAGAGCCAAAAAGTGTGTGTGTGTGTGTGTGTGTGTGTGTTGTTGTACGCGGAATTTGTCCTGTGGCGTGCGTGCGTGCGTTATCGTTTGGTCCCAAAGGGGTGAGGGAGGGAGGCTTACATAGCAGCAGAGGGAAATCCGCAGGTGTGTTAGGGAAGTGAATGGGAGAGAGGCTCACAAGCTGTGTGGCAAGTGGAAGCTCTCAGACAAGCTGAGACACGGGCTGCTGACCTCGCAATGTGGCCTACCTGGCACCCTTTCTTTGGAGGAGCCTAACCCCTGGATGGGATGGAAAATTAACATTGAGCTTGTGGTTTAGCTTCTGACACCAGGTTTTGGACTGTTTATAGACTTTGGCTGAAGTAAGCTGTCTTTTTGTTTAGCCGTGATCCAAATAAATGAACTGTTTTGCTTTCACCAAATTAGCTGGCGGTCATTCCAGAGCTACCCCATATTAATAAAAAAAAAATAAAAAGATATATATATATATATATACAGTGTGTATATATTGTTTTTTTTTTTTTTTTTTTTACATTGTAATGTCTGCAGAGACTAATTGAACTAACATAATGCTTGTTGCAATTATACTCATTGTAGAATTTGCTTCTGTGGCAGTACAGTATTAAAAAAAAAATGGATCACAATTATTTTTTCCATCTATAATTTTCTGAAGTAAACAAACATCATTCAGTATTTTGTGTGAAAGTTTATCTTTGTAATTTACTAGGTCCACTCAGATCAAGACATATTCCTGGGATAATGCTCAGGTTTTACTGGTTGGTAACAAGTGTGATATGGAAGATGAGCGTGTAGTGTCTTCAGAGCGAGGAAGACAACTCGCAGAACACCTAGGTAAGTGCATTGACCATTATACAGTATTAACCACTTGCCCTCCAGGGGATTTACCCCCCTTCCTGACCAGGCCATTTTTTGCGTTACTTTAACTGACAATTGCGCGGTCATGCAATGCTGCATCTAAATGAAATGTATGTCCTTTTTTTCCCCACGAATAGAGCTTTCTTTCGGTGGTATTTGATCGCCTCTAACTTTTTTTTTATTTTTTGCGCTATAAAAAAAAAAATTAGGCCCACAATTCTAAGAAAAACAATATTTTTGACTTTTTGCTATTAAACATAAAAATGTATTCTGCTACATGTCTTTGCTAAAGTAAAATCCCAATACGTGTAAATTGGTTTACATGAAAGTTATAGCATTTACAAATGGCAGTGTATATATACTAAGTTTTTTTTGTTTTGTTTTGTTTTTTTTTTTCAATTTTTACTAGTAATGGCGATCAGCGACTTGTAGCGGGTCTGCGGGACTGGGGTTGGCATTCTGACATTGGGGGAAACTGACTTGGTGTCACTGAAATCCCCAGTGACACCAATACAGTGATCAGTGCTAATAAAAAGGACTGACACTGTACTAATGGCACTGGGCCGGAAGGGGTTAAATTTGGGGCAATCAAAGGGTTAACTGTGTGCTGGGTGTGTTTTACTATGGGGCTGTCTGTGTGCTTCACTGTAAGCACACTGCTTTGCATGGCTGTGCTGTGTGCACAGTGATTCAAAGCAGCATGCACGAGCTGACAGGGAGAACTATTTTGTTTACTAACGTTTCTTCCCCCCATCAGAGATCCTTGGCAATCATCGGGCGCCAGTGAGTAATCACCAGCTGGGACTCGGTGATTGACAGCCGCGGCTGCGAAATCACGTGTATATATACGTGATTTTGCGCATCCATGTCACCCTGTAGCAGTAAATCTTCTATAGGGCGGATGGGAAATGATTAATTTAAAACGTTGGAGACAACAAAAACTACGATGTTGTACCACACAATAGGGTGCTGATTTTTTCATTTTGACATATTTGCAAAGCTGAAGAATCTACCATCTTGCCAGTTCAGGCTTAAAGTGGAGTTCCAGCCAAAAACTGTAGCTGCTGACTTTGAATAAACACACATTTACCTGTCCCGGAGTCCAGAAGTGTTCTCACCTGCGGCGTCCCTTCTCTCCTCTACTGCGCTGCGGCGAACTGAGCCGGAACTAGGAGTGGGTACCTGTCAAAACCAGGTACCAGCTCCCCCCCAAAAGGAGCTAAATATGGCAGTGGAGGGGGGGAGGAGGCAAATAAGCGAAGCTTCCACTTTTGAGTGGAACTCCGCTTTAATGAAAACGCAACAAAAAAGCTGAGTGGCACAAATGATGTTTTTACTGTATACTCACCTTGGTGATCACATACCAAATTTCCAGTATGCCTTCCTTTCCATTTATATACTTGATTTTATCAACCTCTCTATAATAGCTTGCAAGTGTCCCACTGCTAATTATTTTTCAGTGTAAGCCTTATTTAATTTTTCATCTTTCAGGTTTTGAATTTTTTGAAGCAAGCGCCAAAGACAACATAAATGTGAAGCAGACATTTGAACGCTTGGTGGACATAATCTGTGAAAAGATGTCTGAGAGTTTGGATACAGCTGATCCAGCTGTCACTGGAGCCAAACAAGGACCTCAGCTCACTGACCAGCAGGCTCCCCCACATCAGGACTGTGCCTGCTAAGGAACATGCCTTTCCCATATACACACAGCACTCCACACCCCCTGCCCTTATCTCCTGCATAGTGGTGACCTCTCCTTCACTGACCTTGAAACCTGCATATCATCTGAAAATGACTTTGTCTGTTACAACCTTTTTAGTTAGGATCTATGTAGCAATGAGAGAGTAAAAACTGAGTGGTTGAATAAAAAAATAGAGTTTAAAAATAAAATTATTTAAATAATATATATCTATATAGAAAGAGCTAACAAACTGAGTGGGTACAACAATTAGATGATTGGAGAAATGCCATGTTTTCTCTATAAAAGTATTCTTGCATCATTATAAAGCGTTTAGAGCTTTACCGCACAATAAAAAGTAACTTTTTTCATTTATTGTATACAGGGCTGATTTGAAGGAAAACCTGTACTGAAAGAAATACAAAGGCTGCCATTGCTGAAAATACCTGTTGTATATCTGTTTCTGTTACAAGTCTGAAACGTTTGCAGATG